GCCCCGCGCGCCCATTGGCTGCGGGGCCGGCCCTGCAGTTTGATTTTCCGCGCGGCGCCGGCGCTCCCCGTGCGGCCGCCGCCGCCGGGGCCSGGTCCCCCCGCCGCCCCGTCCCGCCACGGGGGCTCGCTGCGAGCCGCCTCAACACACGGGACGGCGGCGTCCAGGCCCCTCACAGTGACGGGAGCCCGCGGGCCGGGGGAGGCGGCTCTGATGCCCCGGCCTGGCTGGAGGTGCCCTGGGCGCGGGGATCCCTGCGCAAACCCAGTGTCCCCGAGGAAGCCTGAGGCGCCTCCCGTGGCCTCCGGCCACCCCCGTGCTCGGCCCACGCGTGATTCCCTGCGCGGCCGGTGCCCGCTGTCCGCAGGCGCCCCCGGAGCTCCGCGGGAAGCAGCGCTGGCCCGGGCGGCAGCGCTATTTTGAGAGGCGCAAATCCTCTTTCCCCGCGCAGCCCTTCACCTGCTGTCTGCCCAGCTGTGCATCCCGGCGGGCGGCGGAGCCGGGCGCTGCCAGCCCCGGCACCAGGGATGGGCTTCGATCTCTGCGGCACGGACAATTTCAGACGCTGGACAGGAGGGTCCAGCCACYCTGAGCTGCAAGTTGCTACCCGCTAGTTTGAGCAGGTTCAGAACCTGGGGTGTGCAGCCCTGTTGAAATAGGTGATTGCTTTTTTCTTCTTTTTTCCCTTTTTTCTTCTTTTCTGGGAGGCTTCTTCAGCTTAAGTTCAGCATCTAATGATGAATGTGACAAGGACAGAGTTTGGGGTTTTTTTTCCTAGAAACTTAATCTAAACTGGCGCATTGCCAGAAAAGGTCTCTCTAATTTAGCCAGCATTGCTGTATCTGTCAGATCTAAGCGTGCGTTAGTGTCGTGGCAGATCCTGCCCTTCTCTGCAAGCTGCAAGGTGCTGCTTTATGCTACAGGAATTTGCAGAGCACTGGCACCACTATATCCATGTCATGGGCCCATCAACTGGCACGAGTGGCCCTAGGTTGCGGTGTGGTGGCACCTGCCGAATCCCTATCCTGATTTGAGGCTGGTGCCACCAAGACAGTCAATCCTTGMTGCTCATCTTCCAAATGGAGTTCCTCAGCAGCCAGGTGTGGACTGGCATCTGGAGGCCATCACTGCTGCCTTCCTTATCAAGCAGCGCTCCGGCTGGACTCCTCCGTGCTATACAGCGTGCTCCTCCATGCACAGCCTGCTCTTCTTCTTCAAGCCATTTCCTCACATAAATTTCATGGACCTGTCCTATCTATTTTGAAAGCACTACCTCGCTCTGYTTGGCTGAATGCATTCACACCTGCTTAGGGTAAGGGGAGATTTAACTCCTGCTTCATTTCTCCCCTTCCCATCTCAGAAGCAAAGCAGTGAATTTTATCGTCCTCAGCTTTGCCATTAGCATGGGTTGAGGAGTCTTCATGCTGTTATAGAGCTCCAAGTCTTAAATCTYGCAGCATGGACAGGATATCTCAGCATGATGCAAACTGTGGCATCAGTCTGTGGGCTGTTATGCTCAGCAAAGGCTAAATCAGCAGGAAAATTATCTTTCCTTAGATCCTTCTCACATCTCTGGGACTATAGGCACAGATAGGAATAGCAAGGGGAATTTGGGATGGCCCTAATGCCTCCTGTCCATTTTCCTCCTCCATCTCAGTCGCATAGCAATCTGGAGATACCAAAAGCAGCTATTGGGTTGACTGATTCAGCTGAAGAACTCCCATTCTTCCATGTCAAAGGTTCTGCTCCAGTTATAGGAAACCAAGACATCACCATCCATTGCGGTTCTGCTCTTATTACATTTTCTATACTAAATTGCCCTCAGGAGCCTGACCCAAAACAGCCATATGTGGAGTTTTACTCCTTCGGGGAAAGGTAGAGTGAATGAGGTCCTACCATTTGGGATTTGCAGTCTAGCATAGGGAGATTCTGAAATTTCTTGGAAAAGGCTTTTTTGAGTTCATTTGTTTTTCTTACCAGAGGGTGTCAGGTCAGCCAAGATTCCTCTGATGGACAGAGCCATCTTTATTTCTTTAATAAAAACAATTTACTCTGTTCTCCTTCCCGCAAGCTGCTGGCAAGCACCAGCTGCCAATCAGTCCAATGCCAGCCCTCCTGCTCCACTAGCCTCGGGCCTTGGCAGCAGAGGAGCAGGCAGAACTGCTCTGATGTGGKGGCAGCCACATGCACCCTTCTCTCYGAAGCGGGCACAAGGCCCCTGGTGCCCCTGGGAGGCCAGTGACAGAGAGCAGAGTGACCCGCTGACCRGTCCCTCTTGGGAGAAGAGGTCACACCAGAYCCACCGAATCCCTGCAGTGCAGTGTGTTAGCAGGGTGCTCTTTGGTTGAAAACAGGACATATTTGGATTTGACTTTGACTGTGTAAGGATGATTTGGCAGTAGGAAACCATGCTGATTTCCATGATTTCCATGGCATATGTGTGTGAGTCCTCATCCCATGCMCCTCCTCTGTGTTCCCCTTGCGGAGACCAAGGTCTGTTGAGGAAGAGWGCCCGGCCTGCCCCGCTGCATTGCATTTCCCTACCTGCTGAAACAGCTCTGCATCCAGACTGGGTTGCTTCCCAGTCAGTGCTGATTTTCAAATGAYGCCCAAGAGTTATTCGTTGGCCTTGGTTACAGCCAGGCCAGGGACGGTGCTAGCAACACTCTAGAGGTCAAATTCTGGTGTTCTCTTTTGATAATTCAAGCAACTCCAAGATGGAGGGTAAGAGGGAAACACTCCCAGTACAGCACCAAAGTTTCCACACAGAAACTCATCCATCTCCAGGAAACCTTTGGGCAGGGGCTGAAAAGGGGAAGATGTGTGTGGTCTGGGGAAAAGCACTAGATTCTGGTGGRGGGAGCTCTCTTGTTTGCTCTTCCCAGCTCTGTGAGATGCCCTCAAGTTTTTCATCTTTACCAAGCCTCTCAAGGACTCGCTCTGTTTGTTTTGGAGGGTGCCAGGCATTTCCCACAAAGTTGCTTTTCTTCTGACTATTTTGTTTTCCCCTCGGAGGCCCTGTGAGCAGGAAGCCCGGTGGCTGCCTGGCAGCTTGCAGCCTGTCACGAGGGCCCGGCGCAGCAAAGCGGGTGGGAAGCTAAAATAAGCTCCGTGTGTTGGGCTGGGGGAGCTGTTTACCTCATCTGAAGCATAGCTGGATCAGCAGAGCAAGGATTTAGATCTATAGTGGCTACTACACTAAGTGGGAATGGAAAAGACGGGTCCAAGCATGCAGGTCCTCATCCTTGAGTGACATGTGTCACGTTTAAGTTTGGGTATGTGCACATCTTTCGTGTTCTACCCCACCGACATCCCGTGAAGCTGCTGTCCTCTTGCTAAAAGCAAGGATGCTGCCTGGGCACAAACCCAGGTACCAGGAGCTCTTCTGCTTCCTTGTGCTGTGAGGTCCCTTAGCAGGAAACAGCAGGCATTCGTATCCAGGCTCACCCTCCTTGACCCCTCCAGCCACTCAGGATCTCAGCAGAACAAGTTGGAAGTAGGAAATTATCCAAGACTTCAATGGAAAGATGAGAGATGCCCCGAAGTTTCCGTTTAGAAGACATTCAGCTCTGCTCTAGGATAAACTCTGTTCTGCTGCTGGTACTAGAGCCAGGTAATGCAGAGGCAACCACAGATATTGTGCAGTAAAAAATCACACCTAAAACTACTCATTTTTACAGGGAACTGTAAAAGAGCATTTCTCTGGGGAAGGTACTGGTGGTTATTTAGCTATACTTGAAGCAAGGTCCTGAAAATATGCAGCTCTGTCACTTCTCTGATAGGATTTTGCATCCCTGACTCTTCTGCTGACATCACATTACATGCCTTTTCTCTTTTTTGGGATACTGGAGGTTTTTTTTTTTTTTTTTTTTTTTTTTTTTTTTTTGATGTGAACTTTCCTGTTCCATGTTTATGTCTGCATTTTGCTTGGCCCAAAGTTATCTGCTTCCTGCTTTCTTGGGCCATCTTTTCTCATATGTCCTATCCCACCCGTGTTCCTTTCTTTTTATTTTTGCTTCACCGAGGAAAATTTCTACCTGCAAGTGTACAACAGCTTGTGGGATCGGCCTGGGGCAGCAGCAGCAATCTTTCCTGTCTTTGCAGACTGTCCACACATGTGGAAAGACCAGCACACTGCACCCATTCACACATGAATGAGACCGCAATGGAGACTTCATGTAAATGGAGGCACCAGAGAGGAGAGCTAAAAGGTTTTAAAGCCCAAAGCCTGTCTCAAATCTTTTCCATGTCTGGGCATTTCTGTCTTTCTTCCGGTCTCGTTCTGTCCGGCTCTGACTGCAAACAAGATGCTGCAGAGACAGGATGGAGGCTGGAATGGGGACCTGGTGGCTGTGCTGGAACACGGAGCCAGTGGCTGGACTCTCTCAGCAGCAGGACTAGAAGGGATTTCAGGCAGCCATCTGCTCCTGACGGCAATGGATTTACCAGAGGTCTTGGAGCAGAGCTTTAGGGCATTACACTGCCTCATTCTCGGCAGCCTGTGAGCCTGGCACTGGCAGCAGAAGATGCTGCTTTGCCCTGTGCCCTCGACTCCCGCCTGGCCTCGGAGTTGTGCCCAGTCACTTGAGTGCTGTTGGTGCCGGTTCCGGGGGAGCCAAGGACTCCGCAGCGGGCCCTGCGGCAGGGATGGGGCAGGGCGCAGTCAGCAGCATGTGCTCCAGGCAGGGGGGGAAACCCTGCACAAACCCGCTCCGCTCCCGGCCGCTGGCAGCGCCCAGTGCCCGGGCGAGCGCGCAGCCCTGCAGCCAGCGGCGGYCTGGGGTAGCGCGGCCGCCCGCCCCGCTCCGCGCCGCTCCGCTCCAACCCGCGGATCCAGGCGCAGCCCGGCCCCTCGGAGGCGGGGCTGCCCCTCCCGCAGGCAGCTGTGTCCCCGCAGGCAGCTCCGTTCCTCCCAGCTCCGTACCCCGCAGGCAGCTCCGTCCCTCCCAGGCAGCTCCGTCCCTCCCAGCTTCGTCCATCCTAAGCAGCTTCGTCCTTCCCAGCTCCGTCCCCGCCGCAGCTCCGTCCCTCCCAGCTCCGTCCCTCCCAGGCAGCTCCGTCCCTCCCAGCTCCGTCCCTCCCAGGCAGCTCCGTCCCTCCCAGCTCCGTCCCTCCCAGGCAGCTCCGTCCCTCCCCGCTCCGTCCCCGCCGCAGCTCCGAGCCCGCTCGCGCGATGGCGGCGCCGGCGGAGCTGCGGGCGCGGCTGGAGCGCGCGGGCCAGGGGCACCTGCTGCGCTTCTGGCCGGAGCTGGGCCCGGCGCAGCGCTCCGCGCTGCTGGCCGCGCTGGGGCCCGGCCTGGCCGAGCACTGCGCGCTGGCGGCGGCCGCGCGCGGGCGGGAGCGCGCCCCGCCGCGCCTGGACGGCCGCATGGAGCCGCTGCCCGGCGCGCTGCTGGGCAGCGCCCGCCGCAGCGGCCCCGCCGCGCTGCAGCGCTGGGAGGCGGAAGGTGAGCGCGGCCGCGGCCCCCCTCGCTGCTCCGGTCGGTGCCGCCGGGCCGCCCTGCTCCGCCGCGGCCCTTGGAGCCCCGCGCCGCCCCGCACCGCCCTTGCCTGCCCTCTCCCCGCGGCCGCGGATGGCCCCGCGCGCCGGACGGTGCAGTTTGCAAGTGCAGGGTGGCGATTTGGGGCCATTTAGCTGCTTCTGGCCGCAGCTGCCTATGTGGACGTCTCCTCAGGGAGGCTAAGCCAGGAGCAGAGATAGCCCAGACTTTGGCAGCTTTGCCACAGAGGACTGGCCGTGCCCCTGCCTTGTGGCTGGCAGCACAGAACTCAAGGCGAGGGGTTGTTTTCCACGCAGCTGCAGGTGTGGTGTTGGCAGGAGGCTTGAGCAAACCCCGGGCTGTACAATTGCGCTTCTGTGTACGCAGGGAGCCCAGAGTGACCACAGTTAGTCACCTGCTCAGCTCTTGTTGCCGGGTTCTGTAAAAAAAAATGCTCGCTTTGCAAGCTCTGCTCTTTCATGAGTCCTTGGAGGCCACCAACACTGCCACAGCTGTGAGGAAGCAGAGGTGTTTATAGCCCTGAGAGTTGCTCTTCAGGGCTGTCAGCATGTTTGTGAGTGTACCACTTGCGTAATTGAATACCAGAAATAGTAGGGTTTGCCTTAAAAAATAGAAAGTGGTTTGGTGCCTGTGAAAATGTGGCAGGTCAGCTGGATCTGCACTCSTGGTGTGAAGCTGGTTTGTATCCTGACCGTGCTGAAGTCTTCCCCTTGCCAATGGGAAGGGCTGTGAAGCTTGTGTGTGCTTGGGAAGATGCCCTGCTAGGTCACACTGCAAAGACTTGGTTGATGTAGAGAGCAGGGCTAATCTGAGGAGGATCGCCAGGGCAAGGAGCATGGTGCTGTGATCACACATATGCAGTGAAAACCRCCAGCCTTTGCTGCTGTGGGATAAGGCCGTGTCTTGTAGGAAGAAGTGAAGCCCCAGAGTGGTTGGAGTYGAGAAGTGTACATGGCTGCTCAAGTATGGAGTTGTATTGAGGCATCCTGGTGGTCTCCTGGGCACCACACTGACAAGAACGTAGTTCCCATGTTAGGATGGTTCTTTCCAGGTTGTGGCACAGGAAGAAGCTGAGTTTTGGGAACAGAGCAAAGCAAAGTGCCTATTTGGCCAGTCTCATGGAAGAAACAAGGAAAGGGAAATGAAAGCATCTGATTAAGCCTGGRTTGCCAAGTAAGATGAATGGGACATTGATTGAAAGAATGTTCTCTGGAAGACTTCTGTTCTAGAAGTGGCCCTAGGACTTCAGATGAATGATGATCCTTCCTGTCTGTCTTCCATGTGGGTGCTGAGCCTGCATTGGACCTGGCAGCTTGCAGGAACTGCAGTGCCAAGCAGACTTGGAGGTCTTGACCTCCATTGCATGTGGCAAGCCAGGCAGATTCGTTCAGCCTGTTTATTACCCACCTTCTCAGGAGCTGTTTGGGACTCCATGAGGTGCCAGACCATCCATCATGGTCCACGAGGCCTGGTTAGATGTCAGCTCTCACCTTGTGGATGTGCTGGGTGTGTAGAACGTGGGGTTGATGGAAGAGGTGGTGGCTGGACCTGGTGTATGTGGAGCAGGGTGCMACCGTGCTCCTTGCCATGGTCATGCATGTATGGCTCTGCTATTTTTCTAGGGTAAACTTTATGTATAAAGATACAGATATCTTTCCACATTCCAGCATTCTTTACAAAATATGGCAGTTTTTAGTCAACACCAAGGCGTGATAAATCTTTTTTTTTTTTTTTTTTTTTTTTTTTAATAAATAATAGTAAAAAAGCAAGCGGGAAACAGCTGTGGCCCTAGAGGAAACTTCCGAACTGCAGCAAGTGTCTGTAAAGCCTCAGCCTAAGCCTGTGAGCAAGGATGTGGGAAGATGTGATCAGGGAAGTAAAAATTTCCAAACAAAAGCAAAAATAGAAATGACACAGTCACAGGGCAGAAGAAAAGCTGTCAACTTCCCAAAGACGGGGCTGAGTGGTTAAGGAGGGAAGAGAAGGAGGAAATTATGCTGTCTGGCGGGAGGCTCTGTCGCCAAGGCAGGATGCAGCGTGGGCTTTTGTTTGCTTGGAGGTGAAGGAGCTCGGTCCCTGGCTCCGCTCTGGGGACGTGTCCATGGTGGTGACCCCGGGCTTGTGTGTGCTAGATCTTGCCACGCAGCAGGAAGGCCGTGGTGGCCCTGCTGGTCCCATCAGCTCTGTGTCTTAGTTTTGTATGGTATGTGGTGCTGTCCCTGTATTGCTGAAGTCGCAGCTGATCTCAGCAGCTTCCACAGCGGGTTCCTTTATCTGCCCAGCAAAACTGGGGTCAGGCTTGAGCACACGTCAGTGTTTGTGGCTCTGGGGACGCTGTTGATGGGAGCTTGAAGGCTACCTGGGATTTCCTGATAGAGTGAAGAAGTAGGTTCTTGTGACAGTAAAGTCGTGGATTTGTGTCCAACCATATTTTCCATCACCAGAACTCATATCTCCCACTGATCTTTTCCGGCATGCTGAATTTTGAGCACCGAGCAGGTAGGAGGCTGCAACAGGGGTGTCTGCACCTGTAGAACAGCCCAGAAGTGACTGTCGTCACCCAGCGGGGGATGCAATAGGATGGCACATCCTCTTGCTTGAGGATGCCAAAGAGAAGAGGAGCAAAATGCATGAATTCAGTGGGGTGAATTGATCCAGACTATTTGCTAGATCAACAGTTTTAGCAAACTGGGAAGCTGGAGCTAGGAAGCTGGAGGTCTTCTTYGCCACACCAATCAATGCAAACTCTGTGGAGTCTCCAGCAAGAATTCAGTAGGCCTTGTATGATTGGGACTGTTAGCCCCACACAGGAATTGCTTGATGCTTAAATCCACTTCTGTTCCAGCTCTTAACTGGGAGGCATCATTTCTCATTTCCACCAGGAGAGGGGGATGCAATTCTGCTGCTTTCATTTGTTTTTTTTTCTTTTTTTTTTTTTAATTTTTTTTAAATAATGTAGTCCAGTGCTAAAAATAAGAAACCACCCTTGGTTTTATTTCATTCAGGAGAACCACGGTGATGCTGAGCTGGCCCTTATGCCAGGACTCGTGCTGCTCTATAGTCATGTCTCCTTGGCTTCCTGGTCTTCCCGAGGAGCCCCCCAGTGCCCCTGTGCTCCCGAGAGGACGGTGTCACACCGGAGCTGGGCTCCTGCTTTGTCAATGGGCACCTGAATTCCCTGCAGTTGGCACCAGCAGTGTGTATGTTGCCCCCAAAGGGAGCTAAAGACTGAGGAGATTAATTTCTCCTCCTTTCTCTTTTCTTTTTCTGTGTGAAAATGTGATTAACATTGTCAAGCAGTGCAAAATTTGATCTTGGGAATATTCCAGATATTTTTAAGTGGTCAGAAACAGTGCAAATATTAAGAGATTCCACTTTCCAAGCAGCTTTTTGGAGGCTTGTGTGAATCAAGCACAGTCACTTTTACATTCTGCAAACATTTTTGTTTGTGAAAACTCAATCTTGGGAATAGATCTCTGCTCCCATTTAATGGGGAGGTCTGATGATCTGTTTTGGATCATGGATTTTGTTTATTTTTTCCCTTTTTACTTCTCTCATTGGTGCTGTAGTAATCAGGCTGGTGGAGTCCATTCAGCAGGAGAATTCAATCTGGGCTTGCAAGATCAATTTGTTCTTCCTGTGAAATCTATTTTTGTTTCACTTTATATGCAAAATAAGGCTTACTGCAGTCTTTGTATATAACCGTCAGCCAAGACATCTTCTCTCTTTGCTTTGGTTGAGCTTTTCCTTTTTTTTTTTTTTTTTTTTTTGGTTGTTGTTATTCTGTCTTGTTTTTGAGTGTCAAATACTTCTCTTTCCTGCAGGAATGCACAGCAAAGTGAGGCAGTTTTTATGAGCTTTAGTCATGAAAGTTAATAGTTTTACAGCTGGGAAGGCAGAACAGACTTGATATTTATTTATTTATTTATTTACCTACCTACTTACATTCTTGGCAACCTAAAACCAGGAACCTGTAATGTTCCCTTGTAGTTGTTGGGTTGCCCGTTAATACATGATGGGAAAGACAGTCTTCTTCCTTATCCGCCTGCGGTCAGAGAAGATTTTCATTCAGGCCAAGAAATGTGCCATGGACAAATCTCTCCTAGGAGAGAAGTCACCCTGGTGGAAATGAGGACCAAACTTCTTGTGGCATTGGTAGTTCCAGTGTCGGCTTTACCAAGCCCTGTGGTGTGGCCATCTGCTAGGAGTCCTCATCAGTCTGGATTCTGGAAAAAAAAAAAAAAAAAACAGAAAAATAAAGAATGGCCCCCAGTGAGTTTCTCAGTGATACTGCTTTGGACTCAGTTTCATCCCACGTATGTCTTGGTTCCTCAGCTCCATCTGTAGCCAGTGCAGGAGCAGGCAGATGTGGGGAGATAGTTGCTGGAAGCCAAATCATCATGTGGCCGTGTCCATTGTTCTCCATTCACAATGTGTGAAGTTTACGTGAGCTACTCTTCTCTCAGACATCCTGATTTAAGGGAGGTGACTCCAGGCCAGGTACCTTTGAGCCCTGGCACCTTTGAGCCTTGGATTATAGATAAGCTGGCCGTAGGCTTTTCTTGATACAGCATTAGATCAAAATTTGACATGAATGGTTGGTTCCCCTTGCTCATAGTCTGTTTCCCCACATAAACMTGTTATTTGAGGTAAGTGGCACTTGAAAGCTGAGGAGAGTGACCTTACATTTCAGGACCAGAATGTTTGTGTGGATGCTTGAGTTCAAGAGATACCAAAGCAGATAATGCAGCAGGGATGGAGTTGGGAAATGACTGACTTGGTCATGGTTTGGTGGTTAAATTGGGGAGATGCTGCTTTGGTTGAATTGAAAGCAGCGAATGCCAAGTTACGCCTTCAGGGAGTTTTATTTTAAACCAATATGAAATACTGTAGCTTAACCAATTTGTGTTCTATGTCATTTAGCTTTGTGTGTGTGTGTGTGTGATTTTTGTTGCCTTTTTGAAATAGTTCTTGATGCAACCGTTTCAACAGAAAAGTTGAAACAATGCAAATAAATGTGTCTTATGGAAGACCTTCTTTTAGAACTTCTTTTCCTGTAAATGTTTCCCTTCCCTTGTTTTTCTACTGGAAACTCTTGGGTCAGCTTCAGCTTGAGGGAGCCTGCCAGCCAGGAACTGCACTGCTTCGGTGCAATGTGCATGCACGTAGGCCAAACTGAGAGGTGCTACCCGTGCTGCTCCAGCAGTAACACATGGCTGAGGTAAGGAATCAGTAACACATGGCTGAGGTAAGGAATAACAGATACTACAGTTTGGAGCCCAGGGAAGCAATGAGTGAAGACAGGGCTGAGATGGAAGCAGCCTATGGAGCAGGTTATAGACATGGGCACTCGAGTTGTTCCGCGGCTCGGTGCACTGCTCTGTCTGGTGAGCATTACGTGAAGAACATCAMAGCCACCCTGGTGTGGGTCGATGTCGCTGAGCAGACTGATTGTTAGTAACCCGACATATTAGTCTTGAATTTCAGCCCAAAGCTGTTGAGCCTTTGGAAAGCTGCAGATCGGTTTACTTGGGTGACTGGATTGCCTTGGCGCAGGGAGGAAGGATTTGTGCTTCCTGGCATGCTGCTGCCCTCGAAGCTGCCTCTCCACGCTGGGACTGTGTGGCTGTGGTGTGGCACAAGTGGTGCAGCTGTAAATGTGCTGACATCTGCATCCAAAGYAGCAAGCACCCGGAGCCAATGGATGATGATGTGTGCGTTCCACCTTCTTACCCGCTCCCTCCTGCTCACGTTGTGCAGCACTTGTTCAGTCATGGAGCAAACATGGCATGGTGACATTCAGAGCCCTTCTCGCCATGCAAGGCTCTGGGCCCGTGTCCATCTCCTATCGTTTTTTAATGTGGTTGGGCATAATTGGAGAGTGACTCATCCAGCCTTGTTCTTAGTTGTGGAGGTGACAACAAATATGTTCTTGCTGGTGTTAATGGTCAAGGGCTGTTCTTCACTTGGACGTTGCTATTTATCTTGTTGTATGAGAGGCTTATCATTACTGTGGGGAGGCCAAGATTAAATCCATGCAGGGATGGCCTGGCCAAGGGAGAGACTTTTCCTTGCAGCCCAATGAATTGGCTCTGTGTTCTAAATGAGCTCAGCCGGACCATAACACTTTCCATCTCTTTTCCTGTGATAAAGGGGAAAAGCAAATAGACAGAACCTGTGTAACTGCTTCTCCACTTACCGTGACACCCACTATTTCAGTTATAGCTGAAACTTTTTCACCTTTTCCCTATTTAGGACGATGGAGTGGCTGCTAAAACAGTGCGTGACTCAAACTGAAGAGTTTAACTTTGATTTCTAACTGCAGTTGGTTTTCCTTCCTCTCGCTATGGGTAATTTCATCATCCCTACCAACCCTTCAACTGCCTTCAACTCCTTTCCATCCCTGGGGGTTAATCTGGGGRCTTTCCCCAGAGGAGGAGGACTGGAATATTGCAAGGGCTGCCTGAGGCCAGTTCCATCCTGCAGCCTTTGCTCCAAAGAACCTGGTGATGGGGCATTAACGGGGCTCCAGCTCCTGGCAGGCTGTGGAGCACGCAGGTTGGCTCAGAGCAGAGCATCCCCGTTCAGTGTGCTGCTGAAGTGGCTTGCATGGCTTCCTGATAATGTGTGTGTACATCAGAAGAGGAGAGGGAAGCGAGAGAAGCAACTGAAAGGAAAGCAGCTTTAGCCAAAGCTTGTGTTTAGTGGAGCTGCATCGCTGCAGCCAGGCAGGCTTGTGTGTAAAGTGTGGGTCTCACTTCTGGGGCTGGTGCCCCTTGCTCCCCCACTTGCAGCATGCCCTTGCAGGCATGAGAGTTTGCTGGTTCTCTTCCTTGGGGGGTGGCACCTTTGGGCACCCTCATTGTGTGAGGGCCTGGATAGGACCCAGCTTGTCCTCCTAGAGCCCCTTCTTTCCAGGTCCTTTATTTGTTGGTGGTATTGGGTGCTGCCCGTCTGGACCACATGGAAGCTGACGCTCCTTACACCAGCCTCGTGATGTGGCTGGCTGTGCTCTTCTCACATCAAGCTTCCTCTTAATGGAAGGCATCTCCTTTGCAGTCTCTTCTTAATGCAGACCAGGAGACGAAGGCGAGTGGCCCCTCTCTCCTGTAACGCTGTGACAGGAGCTGTTGGCTGGGCTGTGTGTGACCCAAGCTGTGTGTGTGCAGAGCTCCCTAAGGCTTTTCCGAAGTTCTCCAACAGGTAGCAGTGTTACGGGCTGGGAGACATGCAGGGTGCCAAGTAGTGAGTAAGAGTGTTGTAACAAATACCTTCAACCCTCTGCTCTGTGTCTGGGTCGCCTTTTGCTTTGGGGAATTCAGTGATGATGCGAAGGAACCGTTATTTGCTTGTGGTTTATTATGCAATAAAGTCAGGCTTATTTTAACTGCATCAGGGCAATGGAGAGTTTTGTGCTGGTGTCGCTTTAATCTTGCAATACAGTTTGCCCAGTGCTATGGTTGATCAAGCCTAAGTCTGTACAAGCTTCCTCTTCTGTCCTAGAGCTGCTTGAAGCTTTGAAGTCCTGAATCCTTCACCTTCAGAGCAGGTTTCCCTCTAGAAAGCTCTTATAGCCCCACTTAGAGTGGGAGGTGGGACTAGAGGTCCCAGAGGTCACTTCCAGCAATATTTCTGTGATGCAGTCAGTTACTTCAAGGGTCTGCTCTGCAGCAAAGTGATGACACTGTTGTGTACCTGGCTTTCTTAGGTGTGCTTTGGCAGGCATTATTAGTTTTTTTGCAAGCAGTATATTTAGACTGGAACATGATGCTACTGAAAGCTGTCGGCTTGGGGGTGTCAGTGTCATTGCAATGTCCTGGGTGACAGAAGACTTAATAACAATAACAATAACAATAACAATAACAATAACAATAACAGTAAGTTGGACATTTGAACAGAATTGAAACTAAGTCAGGTTGTCAAAGCAGCAAGTGGTACTTTACATCTTACTGTTTAATTTAACAGCTCATTATCTAAAGGTAAACTTAATGACCCATGGCTTCTTCTATTTCTGTGGTTTTGGTCCCAGTGTCTTCCAGTCCAAATGACATCTTTTTTATTATATATACTTTTTTTTTTTAAGTCCATGACAGAGTTAAAATGATGCAAATCTGGGTGTTTGTTCTCCTTTTGGGAGCTGGGGAGGATCATGAGCCCCTTGGACCATGGGGAGCAATGACAGGYGTAACTATGTGCTGTAGACTTGTGTGAGTTTGCAGGAGACTCCGATTGCTGCTGTAATCCATCTGAGYTGTTGCTTTTTCCCTGTTGCTTCTTCCATTTGTCCCATTTGGTCATGGTGGTTACTGTGGTTCTGGCTGGAGGGAAGGCAGAGAACAGTCAGAGGAGGAGTGGAATGGGTGTCTATAATGTGGTCTGATTATTCCCCAAGCTTGGACTTTTCTGGCTGTCGTTAGTCCTGACCGTACCCTAGCAGCAGTGGAAACAGTACAGATAGTTCAGTAAGATTCCAGAAATCCCCATGCTTTCCTGAAGATGAYGAGACTGTTCCAGGACGTAGAAATGTTAGTGGTGAAAGACCACTAGCCCAGCCTCCTGTTTGGAGCAGGTTTGGAGCAAGTTTCTGTAGCCAAATATTGAAAACCTCAAAGCATGGAGGTCTCCCACCTCTCTGGGGTCCTATTCCAGTCCTGCATCCCCTCCTGGTAAATTAGTTTTTTTTTTTCTTAATCTCCAATTTGAGCCTCCAAAGCTGCATCTCCTGGCAGTTTCCCATTATTTTACCATGTCTCAGCTTAAATGAGGAAACTGAGGCATTAAAGAAGTGAAACAATTTTCCCATGCAATGTCACCTTTCTATTCCAACGGTGGGCATCAAGCTGTCAGCTATGGCTATTGCCCGAGCTCTGCAGACAGCCTCAAGAGTGCAAGGTGTTCATTGCCTTTAGCCGTGTGATTCTTATGTTCCTCTTGGCTTCCCTCTCCTCAGGTTTCCACCAGATCTCGCAGAACAAGGTGGCAGTGCTGCTGCTGGCTGGCGGGCAAGGAACTCGCCTGGGAGTGAGCTACCCGAAGGGCATGTATGATGTGGGCTTGCCTAGTGGCAAGACCCTKTATCAGCTCCAGGCGGAACGAATCCGCAAAGTAGAGCAGCTCGCTGGCCAGCGGTACCACCGCAGGTGCATCATCCCTTGGTAAGTGACCCGGAGCCACAACCACCGCACAGGGGCTTTGCCTTGCAGCCAGGCCGGGTTGTCTTCTAGAAGTGCTCTGCTCAGCGCTGTACGCAGAGAGCCTCTGCTCTGCAGGGTTTGCAATCCCTGCAGCTGGACGTGGGGTGAGAAGGAAAGGGAAGCGTGACCTCAGGAAACGAGTCCTGCCCTTGGCTCTGCAGCATGCTGGCTGTGAAAGCACACAGCCCAAACAACACTTCAGTGCCCGTTTCAAAGCACACAGCCCAAACAACACTTCAGTGCCTGTGTCGCATCCCGTGAAAGAGCTTCATTTGTGCTGTACTTTCTCAGACCTGTGCGTGAAGGGAGTGACTGCTGAGTGCTCACCTTGCAAGCCCCTCACCCTGCCCTTATGTCTTATTTCTGCCACAACAAAGAACTTTTCACCTCACAAGGGAAAATGCCTTTTGTGCTCCATTTTTAGGCCGCCTCCTGCTGTCATTGCAAACGGAAAATGCCMTCAAATGTCGCTTAATTGTAAGGTGGCTTATTTAGAGCTGACTACCTGTTCTCCTGGCTACGCCTTGCTTTCAAAAGCCTCCAGGCTTCAGGACAGACTAAATCTGGGCAAGGTGCAAAATGCAAGTTCCTTGAGGGATGTGAGGGTGAGAGAGAAGACAACACTGCAGCTGAGTTCTGGGAATGTCTTGCTGCTGGCTGTTCAACCCCAAATAATAATAAAAAAATCTTTATGAAATCACTACCCTGTCTGTCTGAGATGGGATTTGGGCAGAGAAAAAGGWCCCATGTGCCTGGCATCTTTGAGGTAGCTCCTTGTCTTTTACGAATTGGTGACTAAAGGTGATTTGACTCCAAGTTGTACATCTCTTCAGTTGTATATATGACCTGAATTGCAGGTATTCCCATCTCTGATTCTGATGGCAGCTAGGATGGATTATTTGCAGCATACAAACTCTGCTGATGCCCTGCCCTGTAGGTCTTGTCTCCCCAGGCTGAGGAGACAGTGGCTGCTGCAACGTGCTACTGCAAGGATGTGAATTGGTGTGTTCAGGAGGCCTAAGTTCTCCTGTTCAAGGTGCAGATACCCTAGAAGGCTGACAGAGGAACCTGGAATCCTATAGCAATAGTGGTTGGAAAAGCGCTTCATGGGGAAATGGTGAATATTCCTCTTAGCCATTGCTGAAGAAATGAAATAGCAGAGAAAGACAGACCAAAGAAGGTTGCAGACAGGAGAGGGGCGGGGGGGAATAGAGAAGCTTAAGAGAAGAAAAAATCATATAGCCAGCATCTAAAAATGCTGCTTCTCTTGGCACAGAAGAGACTGGCAGACTTTGAGCTCCTGGAGATTCTGAGCACCTGGCACAGATCTTTAAGCTCTTAAAATCAGTTTATTTATCAGAATCTAGGGGGGATGGGGTTGCTGTGCTGTCTTTATCTCCCTGCCAATTCACCTGGGTATCTACACAGCATTTGTGAGGGGGAAAGGCTCTTGCACAAGGTTCTATGCAGCCTCCAGGCATGGTGAGCTCTGGAGAAAAGCTCTCCTGCTTAGTTACCTACCATAGAATATTGAATTTGAGACTTACAGTTTTTTTCACCCTTTTTATATTATGTGGTTTTGCCTTTGCTTGTGTTTTCCTTTCAACTTGGTCATTCAGCATCTGTTCTTGCCCAGGTACATTATGACAAGCGAATTTACCCTGGGGCCAACAGAAGAGTTTTTTGCAGAACACAACTACTTCAACCTGGAGAAGTCCAACGTGATCATGTTTGAACAGAGGATGCTGCCAGCTGTCACCTTTGATGGGAAGGCCATCTTGGAGGAGAAAGGGAAAATTGCAATGGCTCCAGGTACCCAACTTTTCACCTTCAATTTGCACAGTAACACAAAATGTGTTGGTAATTACTAGCTATCACTAGTCTTGGCACACAGGAGCCTTCTTTTGGAGGTCAGTGTTAATGCTTTTGATCAGCGTGGGAGGGTTCAGTTAAATGTTTCCAAGCTGGGAATCAAGAGTATAGCAGTTTTGGTTTAGTTCTTGCTGGAGATTTGTCCACGTCATGTGTTTTTTTATTGAAGCCTGGGAACATGGGCAGGATTAGAAGGATCAGGGCAGCTGCAGGTTAGGAAAGACATGCGTTGGCAGCTCTGTGTATACGCAGGGTGAAGTCTCTGGGTAAAAGCCCCTGAGGAACGGACTGCCCATGTGAAGCTGTCAGGGGAGCAGCACGTGCTCCTCACTGTGCATCCTGCTGGCCTGGGGCTTCTGGTCCCTCAGCAGGGCGATGCTGTCACACTGGGGAGAAAGGTCACTTGGTTGAAGGCTGCCATTCAAAGGCTAAGGCTGATAGCTGAAAATGGCTAGAAGAATTCAGCAAGAAGACAAACTCTTTCCAAAATGACGGAAATGTCTCATCTTGAGAAGTAGCTCTCCCTTTCTTTCAACCTGGCCTCGCTAACAGAAGCAGTCAAGGCAGCCCAGTCAGGGCTCTGTTGTAGTGATGTGGCTTTGTGGCTGTGTGATGATTTTCCTGAGCTAACAGTGTCAAAAATCCATGTTTGCTGAACGGATGTGCAGGGGCCTCTTCTGCAGCTGGAGTTCAAGTGTGTGACAAAGGTACTAGGTTGGGATGAGAGGGAATCCACAGAAAATAAGATTTATGTTAGTCTTTCTCCCTCGGGCTGAATTTTAAATGCGTTTTTTGCTCTGCACTGGATGACAAGAAATGTAATAATTTTCTGCGACGCTCTATGTAGTACTTTTTAGTGTTTTTCCTCTAACGATCTTATAACAGTTCATAGAGTCTCATACTATTTCTCCGTGAGGTTGATGTTCACAGTCCCACTTTTCAGATGAGAAAACAGAGGTGTGGAGGGGAATTGGGTTGAGTGAACTGAGACTGTGGCAACACTGGGAATAAAATCCGGTAGCATTGACTATGGGCCTGATCATCTGCTGCTAGCAAAAGCATTCCTTGCTCTGCAGCTTGTGCTCTGACAACATCAGTCACAGAAAACACATTGGTACTAATGAAACAGGGCCTCCCTCGTTCTCTTGCCTTATAGATGGCAACGGCGGTTTGTATCGTGCTTTGATGGATAACAAGATCTTGGATGACATGAAAGAGCGTGGTATCCAGTATGTCCACGTGTACTGTGTGGACAACATCCTCGTCAAAATGGCAGATCCGGTCTTCATCGGCTTCTGTGTTTCCAAAGGGGCTGACTGCGGTGCTAAGGTGAGGCAGCGCTAACGGGCCACCTTCCCCCTGGGAATCAAGGTCCATTTGAGCTGGGAAGCTGTTGGGTCGGGATGTGCCAGGATATTAAACCTCTGACAAAGATGGCTGGAAAAGAGCAAACTTAGACATGACAGCCTGAACTGCAGGTAGTTAAGTGCTTGGCTACCAGTGCCATATGCAGAGTACATCCCTGTAAGTTAGAAGCTTTACTGGCCTTGGGTGTGTTTATAGATGAACATTTTAGTTTAATCCAAGCACGGAAAATGGGGAAAGCCAAAGCAACCTGATTTGAGACTCTGAAGTGCCAGGCTCTCAGTGCTTATAAAGAAAGATTTATCTTGCATTAATCATTAACACTGCTCATTCAGAGAGGGAGCTGAAGGTTAGCAACTGTAAAAATAAAAATCATTTAATGCTGGATCCCAGTTAAAAGTCCTTGATTATAGAACTGCCCTCAAGTATGCTGCTTTCTTTTAACTGTGGCCTGCCCCATGAGCAACTGTTTAATTAAGTGGCTGAGTATGGTTCTTAGGCCAGGTTTGGGGGACAAAACCACTACACTTAGTCCTGCCCCATTTGTGCTGCTGAGGAGACGCGGCCTGTAGCAGAGCCTTGTAGGTTGGTTGTGTGTGGGAACTGGGTACTGTTTTCTTCTCCTCCTTTGTCAGCACGCTGTGCCCTGTGGCTGCAGGTGGTGGAGAAGGCCTATCCCACGGAGCCCGTCGGGGTCGTGTGCCTTGTGGACGGGCTCTACCAGGTGGTGGAGTACAGCGAGATCAGCCCGGAGACGGCGCAGCAGCGGAGCCCTGACGGGAGGCTGCTGTACAGCACGGGCAATATCTGCAACCATTTCTTCACAGTCGACTTCCTGCAGACAGTGGCCCAGTAAGTTCGAGCAGAGCTGCCGGACAGCTGTGCGGCCCCCAAGCACCTTCAGGAGCGGGTAGCACGGTTTCACACTCRATATTTTCAGTAGTGGACAAGGTTTCAATAAGCAGCTCTCTGCCCTTAGGTCTCGAACATTCAGGGCATGTTGRGGCTGCTGTGTGAGTTGTCACTGTGGGAGGATATAGAACTGATGTAATTTAAAATGTGGGGTTAGTTACAGGGGGACCCAACTCCAGTCTTGAGCCAGTCTTGAAGAGCCTGGTCCCTCCTTGTGTGAGGATCTGCTCTGGTATGCTGTCATCCTGATCAGATAACTCCTTTTTTTTCTTCTACCTGTGGTTTCAAMTGGGCACAGGGTCCTTGTTCATCTCCTGCTTTACCTGATTGTGTCACACTGTTGTGGATGTGGAGTGGCCACTGCTCCCCACTGCACAGATGACTGGATTGCTCTGGTCCTGGGCATGTTTCCTGGACATATTTTATATGCATTTGGAAAGAACAATATCCAAAATAGCTGACGTATTACCAAGGGCAGTAATAAGCTGTCTGTTTTCCATTAAAAAAATCAGTTCTTCTCTCAAAGCAAGCATGAAGTAAATGAATTTGTTTCTCCTCCTTTTGCTCTGGCAGGAAATTTGAGCCCCAGCTGAAACATCATGTAGCCATAAAGAAGGTGCCCTACATTGACGAGGAGGGAAATCTGGTAAAGCCGCTAAAACCGAACGGGATAAAGCTGGAGAAGTTTGTGTTTGATGTGTTCCAGTTCTCTAAGTTAGTGGCAGATGTGAATCTTTATTTCTTTTTTTTTTTTTTTCTCCTTCTCAATGTTTGTTTGAATGACTGTTGGTTGTAACAGGCCTTGACAGGGAGCACACGGGTTGTGGGTGGCTTGGTAAGAAGCTGCTGCATCTACCAGTCTTCTCTAGCATGAGAGTAACCCACAGGCTCTGAAAGGTGCCATTTGCAGAGTCCTCAGCAGCAGGCAGGCTTGCTCTGACTGTGCTCCAAGCACCACTTGTCCTATGGAGGGTGGCTTGTCTGGCTGAGCCCCTGCTGGCTGCACAAACAGGGAAGAAAAGAAATTCTGTAGATAGTGCAAGGCAACATTTAACATGAGCCCCATGTTTGAGTATTTCAGCCTGCTGAAATCAGGTCGTTGSGAATCGCAGCTTCCATGGCAACTGCAGCTCTGGTTACATTTTTAGGGCACAATAAGCCGGGTTCAGTTCACAGCCTTTGTGCYGGGGAAAGCAGGTTGCTTAAGCACCATGGGGCCGAGTTACTGTTGCTGGGGGAACTRAAGTGTTGCCTTGCCAGGCTCTTTACCCATAGCGGAGATCGTTTGTCCCACAGCGGTAACACAGTCAGAGATGCTTTGTTTTTTAGAGGATGGGAGATTTTAGTAGTTTAGGGATCTCACGTATAATGTTGGCTATAGTTATTCCTGCTTTTAGAGTGATTTACTTTAGAATTGGGCAGCTCAAGACTTCAGCTCCAGTTTCTGTTTCCTGATACGCATTGAGTGATGAAATAGCATAATAAATTATTATAGTAAATTGAGTGAATCACCATGATGAAAACAGACCTGATTTCAGAGTTTTAAAGGGCCTCACGTGCAAGCAGTGATATCTCTGTGTGCTTTGTTAATAATAATGGAAAAGCAGCTTGGCAGATGTTCTTCACCCTTGAAAGGCTGAAACATGCAGATGTTGCTGTGGTTTATATTTGCATTCCCTCTTGACTGTGACTTGTGCAAAGTTGCTAATTCATACCCAGAAACTGGTGTCCTTGGTTCTTCCTTGCCCACACGCTCTTACATGGAGTAACCACTTCTTGTAGCAGGGAGGCAGCTGCATATTTTGTTTCGGAGCAAAATTATCCCAAAGACTGACCACCTGCAGTGCAACCTGCATCCTAGCTTCACATATCACTGCTGCCTCCACCTTGTCTTGCTTATTATCCTCTTAGCTGAGGGTTTTTGTCAATAAAAAGCTGCCTAGCCTCTGGAAAGGTTTCTGTGGAACTCTGAGCCCATCTTGAGAGTCAGATGTTCTCTGGGAGCCTGGACCTCTAGTTGGGAGTTTCTGTCATCAAGCTCTGGTAGTCTTGCTCTACAGGTGGGTGGTGGGCTTTCCTTAGCTTAAATCTGCTAAGGGCAATAAGTATGAGCCTTTCTCTGTTAAAGTTGTTGTTGATGGATTTCTTTTTTTCTTTTTTAATCTTTTTTTTTTTTTGGAGAACATGATTGATGGCTAGCCTTGTTTTTCATTATTCTTGTCTCCTTCCCTTTGCTGGTAGGAATTTTGTGGCATTTGAAGTTGAGAGAGAAGAAGAGTTCTCCCCATTAAAAAATGCAGATACAGCTGAGAAAGACACTCCTACCACAGCTCGGCAATCCCTTCTGGCCCAGCATTACCGSTGGGCTCGCAGTGCCGGGGCCACATTTGTGGATGAAAATGGCTGCAGGATACCAGAGAAATTCAGGTGTGAACCTCTGTGAGCTGCTCTGTAGCTTCTCTTTCTGTGGTTACCTGACGCTTGCAGTTGTGTACACTGTGCTCCACAAAACTGGGCATCACATGGTGCCTTGGCATGACTTCTATTGAGCTAGCCTTTTCTGGAGATCAAGGTCTGTTACCACTCCTGCTTCATCACTGATTACAAATACAATAACAAATATTCAGGTAACTCAGTGCAGTGGCTCGGACACATTCCTGCTTTGGGTTGTGAGCTCCTCCTACAGCAACTCTGACACAGAGAGACCACAGCCTTCGCTAGAGGCAGTCCCTTTTATTGTTTAGGATTTAGCCAGCCCAAGCAATGGGAATTTGTAGCCATCGCCACCTTTTCTGAATATAGCTCCAGTTCTCTTAGCTAAGCAGCAGCCTTCAGGTGGATGTAAATATCAACTATTAAACAGAAGTTAGCATCTCAAATACATTCTGTATCTGAATGGGTTGTTAGTTCATCAGCCCATAGCTTAATAAACTATAAGCTCTTTGTATTACTTGAAAAGTACTTCTTCAAAAATCACCTACTTGCTTTGTGAGAAATAGTTGGTAGCTGCTTGTTCCCTTTTATTTCCACAGTTCTGGTTCAAATAATGTCTGATGCTTGTGAACTTAGCTTCTCTTATCCTTCTGGATGTCCTGTTCTTGCTGAGCTGTCAAAGAAAACATGTCATTTTATAAGCCTCATAAGAAGTTAAAAACCTATTTTCTCTTCTTTTAGTCTCTCAGGAACTGAAGATCCTCCTGCTGTGTGTGAGATTTCTCCATTAGTGTCCTACTTTGGAGAGGTGAGGATAACTTTCTATGGAGGTATTTTTAAGAGAGGGCACGTATGTATCTCATTTCCTGCCAAACACAACTGGTTTCTTTAGCCTCTGTTTATCAAGAAACGGTAAGATCAAGAGAGCCAGGAGTAAAGCTCTGCGGCCCAATCTTGGTTCCACCATGGTTTACTTTTTGGCAGTTTGCTCCCTCTTGATGTATCTGTTTTAACCATCTGTAATGAAGCTGCATAGTTTCATTAAGGTTCACAAGTAGTTTGTGATCCTCCAAAAGCAAAGGAGTAGAGAAGTGCAAATATTCACATTATAAAATGCAGAGGGTTCCTATATCTGCCTGCGAGCTAATTTACGCTAGTGATCTCTCCCAATGTATGCATACCAAACAAGAAAGCACAATGTGTGCATCATCGTGGGAGACAGCACATCTCRGAGCACATTTCTGAAATTCATATCCCTGAATTAATTGGTCCCAAGAAAGCTGCTTCCATTTAACAATGCAGAGACAAGCCTTTGGATGTTGGGCAGACAGGCTGAGAAATAGTAGATGACAGAAGGAAAAGTGGGGGACAGTGGGAAGGGTGTTTGAAAAGCTTTGCATGTTATCTTTGCTGGCTTTTTTTTTTTTTTTTGCCTGCAGGGAGCTAACTGATCCCAATTATAAAAAACACGATGAAAAAAATGTAACTTAAGTTGACCTTTCTAGGACTGTKTTTTAATGTGACTTAAAGAGAGTAATTATAACTTGTATTAATACCATGCCTTCCTCGCTTTCACCCTGTCCAACCTGAGAGGCTTTGTTTCCAAGATCCTTTGTTTTATGTGTGTCTCCTTCATGAATTCCAGTCATGTGGTTAAAACCCTTTCCATCTCTGTCATGCTGTAATGTGTCACTAAGGAAACTGTTGCTGTTGTCTGGCCCTTCCATGACCTCTTCATTTTAGGTGGCCAGTCATTCCTTGAGAACTTAAAAATAATGCAGGTAACCAGTGTGATGTGTTTGCAATGTTAACTGTCTTGTTTTTGCATGTTCTCAGGGTCTGGAGGTGTACATGAAGAATAGAGAGTTCTGTTCTCCCTTTATACTCAATGAAAACAAAGCGGAAATGCTAAGAAATTATTAAATTCTCAAATCTGATGCATATCCATTATGAGAACTGACAAAATTAGAATGTCAGCTATTATTGTGCTATGAGAAATTGCTCTGTGTTCCTGGATGGATGCCAAATCCTTGTAGCAGCTGTGTTTACACACGCTTGTATCCGCCCCAGTGCTGTTTGGTAACTTTGAAGTCTGCAGAAGAGATCGAGGCCTTTTTACCTCCATCTGTTTTGGAGACTTAGAATGAATGAAGATTAAAGCCTTCCAGATACCGAACAGATTTTATATCTTTTTTTTCTTTTGGTATTGTTGTTTTTGCATGTACAAATATATGAATCAGCCAATCAGGACCTAATCAATCTGTTTTGCATTCAAGAAGATCAAATCTCTGTAGTGCCTTGCTAGGTATCTTATTCACGGTGTGCTTTCTTTTTTTTTTTTAAGTTGGGAGCAGAGGGGAAGTGGGATCAATGTGAGGCCTTACGTTGAAGAGCAGGTTAGAAGATCCAGTTCAGCAGTTTTAGCACTTTACAGAAGTGTTAGATGTAGGTAGGGATGCTGCCATGCAAAGTGTTGCTTGAGATGCAGACTCTAAAGCTGACAAATCGCACTGTTAAAGCTCAGTGCTGGCACTCCAAGAAAACAGAATAAATACAGCTTAGAAGGATTGCCCTTTACAGCTCCAATGGCCTGTTTATTTTAAAACAGGATGATAACAACTGATTTTGTGGCAGCCCTCTGCTCTTCTAGTCTTATGCCAAAAATGAATTATACTTTTTTTTTTTTTCAATGCTATATATGGTATCTCTATCAGGGGACATTCTATAAGTGCCTGACAATAGTAAGAGGAACAAATCTGGATGGTGAAATTCAATGCTTAACCAAAAGACAAGAAAAAATAATGAAAGGCTTAATCCCGGCACAAGCAATGTAAATGATGCAAGCACTAGCCTCTGCCTTTATAGTTCCTGGGCTGGTAGTTTTCCAGCACTCTTTCACCTATGGTTATAGTTCTTTAGATGCCTTTTTTTAAAGATTTTTACTAACTCTAAGATAAGATAAGAAGCAGGTAACTGAGGATGGTAATTGTCAGAAYAAATGAGCTACAGCCTGCCTGAGGGATCCCGGGATAGCCATGATACACGAATTGATCCTTCATAGCTAGCACGCTGCCTCTGGTAGACCTGTCGCGTGGGCAGCTCTGCTGCAGAACCTGGGCTGAGTGTCAGCTCATGGGCTGCCAAACTCTTCAGGTGCGTTGCTGGGGAGAACTTGGTCGATGAGCATACTATACTCCTTCCAGAAAACCAGGAATTAAAGAAGGCAGTGAGGAAGCTGCCTCATCTGGGTAGTTGTGCTTCATGCATCTGCTTCTGCTGAGAAATTGATGCTCCTATTATGAGGCATAAATATTTTAAATAACTTGTAGTTTTCTGCAGTACTTGATATGAAGCCACGTTCCAAATATTGGTGAAGTTTAAAAATAGCTTTGCGAGTAATTGTACCTTGTAGGTAGGCTCCAGTTTTCTAAGGAAAGCATCTGAATGTCAGTGGCAGGATTTTCAAGGATAAGCAATATCTACATATATACAAGTAAATAGTCTTTTGTACCTGCAGATCAGYGAATTGCAGTTCATTACCTCATTGCACGTGCAACCAGTAAGTCTGATTTTTAGTAAAAATTAAGCCATTGCATTTGACACTCAATTCYGTAATGTCTGTTGCACAATCTTTTTATGGTCATTCCATTCTGGTCGGTCAAGTTGTATATATGAGAAGAAATCGCATTGTATCTTTGTTGCTATTGCTTGTCAACTCAGGCACAGGATTGTTTTAAATTGCACTGTGCTATAAAACAGCATATTTCTTCTGCTCTTTCTCAAATGCTTTCTCTTTTGAGACTGACTCACAGTACAGCCTTGTATGCTTTGATCATGTGAATACTGAGCTGCTGACATGATTTTTAGAGGTTTTTTTTCAAGGAGGAGCTGAATTAGAATGCAAAATGTCCTTTGGAGATTTTTAAGCAACTCCTCACGTTTTAAACTGGAACATTAAACAATTTTTTTTGAGGGAACTGAGCATAAGAAATGTCATATAAAATACTTCTGGCATGTATTGTGAAAWGAATAATAACTTACCTGAAACAAAGGCAAGTCCCACACTTTTGCAGAAACTTTTGAAGATTTAAGCATTTTTATAATAAAGATATTACTGTGATTTCTACACCGTGTCTATCTGTTTCTTGTTTGTGAAGAAAATATCCTCATTGTGTTTGTCCCTGCATGGGTGTTGTGACCAGAGCCACAGAACGCTGTCATTGATGGCATGGCTGGCTGTAATGTGGTGTAGTGCCCATGTTTCAGACGTACAGGATGACGTGGAATCCAGGAGACTATAATTCTAGAAGAAGCTTGGTTTTGTGGATGTTTTTTAATGACAATATTGTGTTGTATCTCCTGCAGACTTCTTTTTTTTTGACTCAGTTTATGGTGGGTTAACAGTTCTATGGGGGAGGGAGTTTAGTGGTGGGTAGTGTGCCAACTGCTTTTATTTAAAGACAACCTGAGCAGTATCTGGTTCTGAGTCAGGCTTTCACAGATGTTGTTTAGCTAATGAGATATGTTGAGCATAAAGCGTAATAACACATCTGCTATGTTTCCCATTGACAGGCCTTTTTTAAAAAGGTCTCTCTGTTTATAGAACATAAATCACAGAATCACAGAATGGCTGAGGTTGGAAGGGACCTCTAGACATCATCTAGTCCAACCTTCCTGCYCCAGTAGGGACACTCGGAGCATGGGGCACAGGGCGGCACCCAGGCAGGTTTTGAAGATCTGCAGGGAAGGAGACTCCACAGGCTCCCYGGGCATCCTGTGCCAGCACTCTGGCACCTTCACTGTAAAGTTCTTCCTCATATGGAAATGGAACTTCCTGTGTTTCAACTTGTACCCATTGCCCCTTGTCCCGTCACTGGCYACCACCAAGAAGAGTTTGGCCCCATCCTCCCTTCATTCTCCCCTCAAGCAMTTACACATATTGATCAGATCTCCTCTCCTTCTTCTCCAGGCTAAACAGGCCCAGCTTGCTTAGTCTTTCCTCATAAGATAGATGCTCCGGTCCCTTCATCATCTTTATTGTCCTCTACTGGACCCTCTCTRGAAGGTCCATATCCCTCCTGTCCTGGGGAGCCCAGAGCTGCCCCCAATGCTCCAGGTTTGGCTTCCCCAGAGCTGAGCAGAGGGGCAGGATCTCCTCCCTTGACCTGCTGGCAACTTCCTCCTGATGCAGCCAGGAGCCCATTGGCCTCCTTGGCCACGAGGGCACTGCTGCCTCATAATTAACTTGGTGTCAACCAGGACTCCCAGATCCCTCTCCTTAGAGCTGCTTTCCAGCAGGTCAACCCCTGATCTGTGCCCCCTACCTGGGGCACCAGTATGCCCTGGGGCATTCTTCCCCACTTGTCCATGTTGAACCTCATGAGGTTCCTCTCTACCCAACTCTCCATCCTCTCCAGGTCCCTCTGCATGGCAGCACAGCCCTCCAGACTGTTGGCCACTCCACCCAGCATGGTGTCATCTGCAAACTTGCTCAGGGTGCACTCTRTCATCTYGTCCAAGTAATTGATGAACAAGTTAAACAGCACTGGGCCCCACACTGATGCCTGGGGTCACYACTGGCCACAGGCCTCCAACTGGACTCGACCCCATTTATCTCCACCCTCCGAGCTCTGCCATCCAGCGAGCTCTCAGTCTACCTCTCTGTCCCCTCATCTAACCCACACTTCCTGAGCTTCCCCATGAGGATGTTATGGGAGACTGTGTTACAGGAGACCATTTCCAATAAGGGGAATTTTTTTTGCAAGTGACAGATTGCCTTCTGCTTTCTTGAGTTTTAGTGCTATTTATGACTCAGCAAAGGTCAGAAGTGCATATGCTTCCTTTCATACCTACTTCATCCCATGCTGCTCTCTTAGCCTCCGTATGAAGGTTGCTGGAGACCTTTTATTTTTAGGCTTTTTAAGCTAACTGAATGGGTAGTCCCTGCAACAGGAAAATAAATATTTTTTWAAAAAATCTTTCATAATTCTTTTACATTGTTGCTCTACTTGTTTATGCAGCTTGTTCACACCTACCAAATACTTTGTTTGCATGTTTGTTTTATTATTATTATGTTTTTCATCATGAAATGCTTCCCACATCTCCCCAAGGTTTTGGTTCTGGAAATCCAGTGCAGAGTGGATTCTCAGTTTACAGGCTCAGAAGATCCATAATCCATATTAAACACATCCTTATGTAGAGCTGAAGGTGAATTTAGCGCCAGCACGACCGCCGTGCTCTGCTCCAAAGCAATAGTCCCTGGCTGCACCAATATTTTCTTTTCCCCTGTCGGACTTTGAACCCGAGACAGAAGGAATGTGAGATAGCAAGGGGCATTACAAAATGGCTGCCGTAGTGGGGTTTGTGCCGAGCCCCAAAGGGCCCCAGGGAAGCAGCATGCTTCAAAGGCAGCTAAGGGCTGATGTTTTATCAGCCCAGGCCTTTCTCTTCACCCTCGTCAGGCTGCTTTTTCTTGTGATGGTCCCACGTGTGCACCTTTCCGTTTGGGTTTCCTCCATGCCACCCTCAGCTTTTCTGGGACTAGTCTCTACAGCACAGTCTTGGGTCATGGAGGGATAGGGAGGGATCCCACCACGGCTCCCTGTTCGCTGCCACGGCGGCTGAAGTCCTTGGCGGACCAGGTCTGCCTGGCCACGTGGGGAGAGCACCTAGGAAGCCGAGGCCAGGCAGGGGAGAGGGAAAGAAACTCCCGGGGTGACCGGAGCTGTTGTAGGGAACGGCAGGGCCCTGGCTAAGGGCGGCAGCAGCGGGGGACGGCGGGGACCGGGCGCGGACCGTTGCTAGGGCGCGGCGGGCCGTTGCTAGGGCGCCATAGAGCCGCGGCCGTGCGCGGGGCCGRCGCGGCACCCGGAAGCGGCTCCTCGGCCCCTCCCGCTCTGTGTCCGGGAGCGGCGGGATGACGATG